TTTTAAGGGTTGACTTTCCCTCTGCACGTTTGAAAGGTGGTGGGGTTTATTGTAAAAGGGGGCGGGGCCCTTTGTTTGATACAATTGGGGGGGGGGAGGGTGTTGCATGTGGTGGGTGGTGGATGGGGCAGAGGGGAACCTTTTTAAGTGGTATGCCCGCGGAAAATAGGAAAGTAAAGAGGGGTTTTGTATGTGATGATCAGTTTTTTTCCTTAGTGGTTTTTCTCGGGGGCCCTCGTTGGTGGGGACTGGAATTGCGCAATTAGGAGGGCTGATGTGGAACCACAAGGGGCGGGGCACATGTTGGCAGTCTTACAAAATCTCTTGGTGGATGTTCAGTTGAGGGATGTGGTAGGTGGGGGGGCATGGGAGGTAGAGCATACTTTCGTGAGGAGAGGTTACGCAGCTAGGTTAGATAGGTTGAACATATCTCACTGGGTTTTGTCAAAGTTTGTCCGTACAATAGAAGTAGCTTTTTCAGATCATTGGGCGGTAGTGGCAGAAGTGGAGTGGGAGTCATTAGCTAATATCTCTAGGGTATACTGGACGTTAAATACAAGTGTGTTAGAAGATGAGGAGGGGTTGGAGGGTTTTACAGCACTGTGGGAGGGGTTAAGTGAGGAGGTAAAAGGGGTGGAGGATGTGGTGTTGTGGTGGGATGGTGTGGCTAAGGAACAGATTCGGCATTATTACGTGTGGGAAGGGAAACGAATCAATTCTTTAAAATATGGGCTCATTGGAGGACAGGTTAAGGGGTTGTTATGTAAGGGGGCGGTGGAGGGTACTTATCCTATGGACGACATTATGGTAATTAAGGGGAGGTTGTGTGAAATCCAGGATGAGAGGTTCCAAGCGGTGAGAGTAATGGCGGGGGTGGAGGAGGTATTATGGGGAGATACGCCGTCGTCGTGTGTATTGCGTAGGCAAAAACAACGACAGCAGGCAATGGCTATTCCATGGCTGGAGGTTCATGAGTCGGTGGGTGGGTATAGGGTGGGTCAGGTTATAAAAATTACAGATGGGATGGGAGTGTTTGCGGATAAGTGGTATGAGCAGTATTGGTAAGAGGAAGGAGTAGGAGCTGGGGATTTGGAACAGGTGTGTGGGAGTGTGATATGTCAGTTGGGAAACAGTGATAGAGAGGCACTGGGTGGGAAAATAACTGAGGAGGAAATATGGAGAGCTTTAAGTGAAATGCAAAAGGGCAAAGCGCCGGGAATCGATGGACTACCGGCAGAGTTTTATCAACAGCATTGGGAGCTAATGAGGGGTTTTAGTTGGGAGAAAAGCAGGCAACAGCTGTAGTAGTCTTGGTACCAAAGGGTAAGGGACAGCATACACTTTGGGACTACCGGGCAATATCGTTGTTATGCTTGGATTATAAGTTGTTTGCTAAGATTTTAGGAAATAGGTTTAAGTGCGTAGTAGGGCGGGTCGTATCGAGAACTCAGTTTGGGTTGCCAGGGAGGTCTATGGTGGAGGGGCATGGGTTACTATGGGATTTTGTTGAAGGAAAAGGGGAGGGAAGGGAGGGGCTTGGTTGCTCTAGACTGGCAAGGAGCATATGATAAGAGTGGAGCGAAAAGCATTGAGAGCTATCCTTAGGGGACAGGGTTTTGGGGAAGAAATAGTGGGATGGGTAGATGCGTTATATCGTTGGGCAATGGCGAGGGTACAGATTAATGGAAGATTGGGGGGGAGGATTGTAATGGGTAGGGGACTTAGACAGGGGTGTCCTATGTCACAGCTTTTGTTTGCGTGCATACAGGACCCCTTTTATAGAATGGTGGAGCAGCAAATGGGCATTAGTGAGGGAGAAGGGAGTGGAGTTGGGAGGGTTTGGCCAGTTCTAATAGGGTATGTAGATGATACTACTGCTCTGGTTAGGGAGGGGATGCCAATAGACGCCTTAGATAGGGTAGTCAACATGTTCGCAGGTGCAACTGGTATGAGAGTGAATTCAGAGAAGTCCATGGTCATGGGATTGGAAGCTTGGGTGGGGAGGGTTGAGTGGGGTTGTGTAGTTGTGACGAAGTGGGTAACTTTGTTAAAAATTTGTGGTCTTACCTATGCAGATGATCTGAATGTTGCACATCAGGAAAACTCGGTTAGGTTGGTAGACAGGATTCTGGGTCGCTTGGGAGCATTGTGGCCTTATCATTTGACCCTTGTGCAGTGTGTCATTGTTATTAACATCTTATTGTATAGTAAGGTTTGGCACGTGGCAGCCGTGTTCCCTTTAACTGGGATGGCAATTGCAAAGATACTTAGACGGGTTTTTAAATTCTTGTGGGGTTCGGGCTGTGATTGGCTTAAAAGGGATGTGGTAATGTTACCTGTGCATCAGGGGGGGATGTTGATGGATTTAAAGCGGAGGATCAAATGTATCTTCATTAAGAGGGAGGTGATGAGGGAGGGTGAGGGTGGGGGGGGTTTGGTCAAGATACACAGTAGATTGCAACATATGTATTCTTGGGTAGAGTTGTGTGAGTGTGAAACTGTTTTGCGGGCTCTGGTGTTGGCTCGGGATCTGGGGAAGGTAAAAATAGGTAGGCTGTGTAGGATGTTAGTGGGGAGGGTAGTGGCACCGGTGGAGGGGATTTTCCCCATGTATGACTGGGGAAGTATATGGGGTAGGTTCAATAGGTTAAGGTTACAACCCCGTGGGCGTGAGGTGATGTATCGTTTTTTGCGTGGGATTTTACCGTCGGGTGTGGTTTTACGAGATAGACGGGTGGTTGTGTGGGGGAGGTCTGTAGAATATGTGGAGGGGAGGATTCGGCGTTCCACGTAGTGTATTTTTGTGAGGGGATGGGGAGCGTCAGGGGTTGGTTGAGCAAGGTGCTGCATATGATAAGGGGTAAAGGCATTTCTGTTCTGCGGGCATTAAGTCTTGACGTGGGGGGTATGGATGAGAGTATTATTAGGGCTGTGGGGTACATTATGGTAGATTATATTTACATATCGTGGGGAATGCTGGGAAAGGTGTTAGCGAGGTGAAGCGGCGGGTATTAGCAGTTACGTTTTATAAAACATTGTGTCGAAACAGGGATATTTATGGGCGGAGGTGGGAAAGGGATTTTCCAGTGGGATACAGAGAACTAACGTTAGGGGTATTATTAGACTTGTAAATCAGGTAGGAGGGGTAGAATAGGGATGGTGTATGCTACTGTGGGAAGGGATGTCAGGGGTATAAAACGGGGTCGCCTCCTGGGGTTGACAGTTGCTAAGGATGTGTGTGATTTGACGGGTGTGAGAGTTGTTGAACTAACGCACTTTTCCTAAGGTGCACGAAATATTATCATTGGCAGTTATTGTCACCTGGTTGAGGTGACATTATGTTATAACCTTATCTCCATAATTATGTAAATTCTGATATCCATTGTAATGTCTTGGTGTTATTGTGAACACCGATGATTATATATTTAAGGATTCCTTCATGTTTTGTAAGGATGTACGTAAGCATGTTAGTATATAAACATTTTGATTGTATCATAGGGTATTTAGTGGTAGGGTGTGGATGGTGTGGTTTGGGAGGAATAGAGCCTTTATGATTGGACCTGAGTCTTGCTAGTAGAGATCTTGTAACCTGTAACCATACGTGTCTACCTATATATGTAGTTGTGCATAATTTAAAATGATCAATGTAAATTGTCATAATAATGAGGCATTCTTACCTGTTTTTTAACAAGTGGCAAGTTTTGATATTGTATATATGATGTAAGATCTTGCCTGGGGTGTTATTGCTTATATGTTGTTACAGATGTTTTTCACAAGTTCATTATACAGTATATGATTAAGTGAATGAGTTTTTGATCTTGTGTATAGCCAGGTAAACCTGGACAGTTGTCACTTGGGGGGAGGGGGGTAGGAGTATAAGCAATCTCTGCAATAGCAGGTCATGCGAAACACATGTGATAATTACATAAGATGTCTAATGTTGTCCATTCTCTGTAGGATGTGATGTATAGATTATCTCCGGCAGTGTACTCTGTATGCAGGAGGAACAATGTGCAAATTTATTTATTTTGGTAGGTTTATGTATATAGCGTGTTTTTAGGGTGATATATATTATAAGAAGATAACAAAAAAGGCACAATACCGTGACTGGAACGATACACAAATAACCCGCACATAAAAGAGAGAAGCTTACGACGACGTTTCGGTCCGACTTGGACCATTGACAAAGTCACATTGACAGTGTGGCTGTCAATGGACCGAAACGTCGTCGTAAGCTTCTCTCTTTTATGTGCGGGTTATTTGTGTGTGTATTATAAGAAGATAATTACCATCAATGACTGTTGGTGGTTATGAGTGGTGACGGCAGACACAGTTACTAGGCATGTGGGAGGGGGGGGGGGTGAAGTGTCAGCGGTAGTGTATTAAATCCACCACCGTGCATGATATGAGGGTAGGGTGGATTGTGTTCTATGGTGGATGTGAGCCATCAGGTTCAGACATTCCTTGTATTATAGTGTCAGCCGTTTAGCTGGCTAGATTGTGTTTATGTATTTTGTTATTGAAGTTCTTAATGCTCTTATAAATGTATAGGTATAAGAGATTTGTCACCGAGTATACTAAGGTGAAAGTGGCGCGTTTTCACGGGGGTGGGGGGAGTGTAAGCATTAATGGGTAGGTATCTGTCGTTTTTTATATACATATAAGCAGTGTTTGATTTGAGTGCAGCCAGCTCTGATGTCATTATATATGTGCTTCTTCAGTACTGTGTAGTCACAGTTGATTATTGTTCACTGCCTGTATCTTGTTACATATTGATTATGTACCCATATATTCTGTACCTGAGTTTTAAATAAAAAAAAACTACTGTATATAGAAAGCCGCTTGTTATGCAGAGCATTTTGGGCAACTGGGGCTCTCTGTCTAGTATGTCACTGATGTCAGCTATGGTCTGTATAAGTTATATCATGTACTTGTAGAAATAAAAATTAATATTATTATTTTATTATTATTAACTAGGTTATCTCTGAGGAGTCACCTACGTGTATTTATGAGTGGTGCCTCCAGCTCTGAGACGGTGTCTAACAGAGTGACATTCAGTGTCTCAGGTAAGGTGAAGGTGACCAACCCTGCCACCACTGATGCTACACCGAACACAACTGAAGGCAGCCAGGCGTGTATCAACACCTGTCGACAACAATAACATATAATTAATGGAATTGTTCTCTGGTTTGACAAAAGTCATTTTCTATAGAAAAGTAATGCTATGTTTATTGTATTCTGTGATAATGAGGTAGTGTGTTGAACTGTGTACAAGCAGGGCTAATTTTTTTACTTTCTACAAATACCTGTGTACAAGCAATGTACTACACATTAATATTTCTGTATAAGACACTGTACCATACAACAGTAATACCTGTGTCTAAGACACTGTAGTATACCTGGAGAGAGTTGCAGGGGTCAATGCCCCTTCTGCCCAGTCTGTGACCAGGCCTCATGGTGGATCAGGGCCTGATCAACCAGGCTGTTACTGCTGGCCGCACGTAATCCAACGTACGAACCACAACCCGGCTGGTCAGGTACTGACTTTAGGTGCCTGTCCAGCGCCTGCTTGAAGACATCCAGGGGTCTATTGGTAATCCTCCTGATGTATGCTGGGAGGCAGCTGAACAGTCTTGGGACCCTGCCACTTATTGTGTTGTCTCTTATCATACTAGTAGCACCCCTCCTGTTCATTGGGGGGATGTTACACCATCTGCCGAGTATTTTGCTTTCGTACGGAGTGATTTTCGTGTGCAAGTTTGGTACTAGTCCCTCTAGGATTTTCCACGTGTATATAATCATGTATCTCTCTCTCCTGCATTCTACGGAGTACAGGTTCAAGAATTTCAACCGTTCCCAGTAACTGAGTTGGTGTATCGCAGTTATGTGTGCAGTGAAGGTTCTCTGTACATTTTCTAAATCAGCAATTTCACCAGCCTTGAAGGATGCTGATAGTGTGCAGCAGTATTCTAGCCTAGATAGAACAAGCAACCTGAAGAGTGTCATCAAAGGCTTGGCATCCCTGGTTTTGAAGGTTCTCATTATCCATCCTGTCATTTTTCTAGCAGATGCAGTTATGCCTCCATATAAGACACTGTTCTATCTGGAGTTTACCTGGAGAGGATTTCGGGGCTCAATGCCCCCAAGGCTCGGTCTGAGATCAGGCCTCGTGGTGGATCAGGGCCTGATCAACCAGGCTGTTACTGCATGCCACACGCAACATGACGTATGAAAATATAAACACAAATGCAGTATAATGTGATCCTTTATTGACAACGTTTCACCCACGCAGTGGGCTTTTTCAAGTCACACACGGATCTACCTGGGGTTGGAAGGTACGGGAGTATTTATAGTTCAGAACGTTGAGGTCAGGTGAAGATTGCTGCATCAGATGATCTACCGGGTGGGGTTGTAGAGTCTTGGGTAGCTAGGCGGGGATATTGGACAAGTTGTGAGTAGACCTTCTGCAGTGTTCTATGTTCTTATGTGGGATAGCGATGAAGAAGTTTCTTGGCGAGTGGTTCAGCTATGTTATAGAAGCCATTGTTCTGGTTGAAATTGTTGGTTATAGAGATAAACGATGATTCCAGGATTCTTCTGTATTGAGTGTTGTCTTCTGTGGCTATAAGTCTTGAGTTTCTGTAGTTAATTAAATGGTTGTGTGAATTGCGATGTTGTACACAGGCATTCCTTGTATCGTCAGTCCTGCTTGCATATTGGTGTTCTGAAATACGTGTTTGGAGGTCTCTTGATGTTTCGCCCACATATAATTTGTTGCAGTCATTACAAGGGATTATGTATACCCCTGCAGAGGATGGAGGCTTGTCCTGTCTACTACTGGTGATGTCCTTGATGGTCGTGGTTGTGGAGGTAGATACTTGGAATGATGTTTTGGCAAAGATGTTGGAAACATGTTTGGCAATGGAGTTGGTGGGAAGGACTATGTATCTCTTCTCGGCAGTGTCTTCTCTGGGTGTGTTGAAGATGTTTAATGCTCGCCGTCTGCAGTCTCTGATGAAGTGACGAGGATAGTGGAGTTTGGAAAATACTTGTTCAATTATAGTGCATTCTTCCTCAAGGAACTCGTTGCTGCAGATTCTGAGTGCACGCAGGAAGAAGCCTATAATTACACCACGTTTGGTTTTGGTGTCGTGGTGAGAGTAGAAGTGGAGGAGATCGTTTTGGTTGGTGGGTTTTCGATAAAACGAAGTTCGTGGTCAGCTTTGCAGAGTAGAACATCAAGAAAAGGAAGAGTGTTGTCGACAGCCTGGCTGGTCAGGTACTGACTTTAGGTACCTGTCCAGTGCCTTCTTGAAGACAGCCAGGGAACTATTGGTAATCATCCTTATGTATGCTGGGAGGCAGTTAAACAGTCTTGGACCCCTGACACTGTGTTGTCTCTCAGTGTACTCATGGCGCCCCTGCTTTGCACTGGGGGAATGTTGCATCTCCTGCTGAGTCCTTTGCTTTCACTGGGAGTGATTTTTGTGTGCAAGTTTGATACCAATCCTTCTAGGATTTTCCAAATGTATATTATCATGTATCTTTCTCACCTGCATTCCAGGGAATACAAATCAAGAGACTTCAACCGTTCCCAGTAATTTAGGTGCCTTTTCGTACTTATGTGTGCCATGAAAGTTCTTTGTACACTCTTCAGGTCAGCAGTGTCGCCAGCCTTGAAGGGGGCAGTTAATGTACTGCAGTATTCCAGCCTAGAGAGAATAAGCTGGAGTTTACCTGGAGAGAGTTCCGGGGTTCAACGCCCCCGAGGCCCGGTCTGTGACCAGGCCTCATGGTGGATCAGGGCCTGATCAACCAGGCTGTTACTGCTGGCTGCACGCAATCCAACATACGAGCCACAGCCTGGCTGTTCAGGTGCCGACTTTAGGTGCTTGTCCAGTTCCTGCTTAAAGGCTGCCAGGGATCTATTGGTAATCCCCCTTATGCATGCTGGGAGGCAGTTGAACAGTCTCGGGCCCCTGACACTTATTGTATGGTCTCTTAACGTGCTAGTGACACCCCTGCTTTTCATTGGGGGGATGTTGCATCGTCTGCCAAGTCTTTTGCTTTCGTTGTGAGTGATTTTCGTGTGCAAGTTCGGTACTAGTCCCTCTAGGATTTTCCAGGTGTATATAATCACGTATCTCTCCCGCCTGCGTTCCAGGGAATACAGGTTCAGGAACTTCAAGCGCTCCCAGTAATTGAGGTGTTTTTATCTCCGTTATGCGCGCTGTGAAGGTTCTCTGTACATTTTCTAGGTCAGCAATTTCACCTGCCTTGAAAGGTGCTGTTAGTGTGCAGCAATATTCCAGCCTAGATAGAACAAGCGACCTAAAGAGTGTCATCATGGGCTTGGCATCCCTAGTTTTGAAGGTTCTCATTATTCATCATATCATCTTCCTAGCAGATGCAGTATATACATTGTTGTGGTCTTTGATGGTGAGATCCTCTGACATAATCACTCCCAGGTCCTTCACATTACTTTTTTGCTCTTTTGTATGGTTAGAATTTGTTGTATATCCTGATACAGTTTTAATTTCCTTAAGTTTTCCATATCTGAGTAGTTGAAATCTCTTTTCATTGAACTTCACATTGTTTTGAGTGACCCACCTGAAGATTTGGTTGATGTCCACTTGGAGTCTCGCAATGTCTTCGATGGAGGTCACTGCCATGGTGATCCGGGTGTCATCCGCAAAGGAAGACACGGATCAATGGCTTGAATCGCTATGTCAGATATGAGGATGAGGAACAGGATGGGAGCGAGTACTGTGCCTTGTGGAACAGAGCTTTTCACCGTAGCTGCCTCAGACTTTACTCCATTTACTATTACTCTTTGTGTTATATTTGTCAGGAAGTTTTAGATCCATCCACTAACATTTCCTGTTATTCCTTTATCATGCTTTTTGTGTGCTATTACACCATGGTCACACTTGTTGAAGGCATTTACAAAGTCTGCATTTTGTTTATCCTCTACAGTATCCAGGACCTTGTCATAGTGGTCCAGTAGTTGGGACAGACAGAAGCGACCTGCTCTAAGCCCACGTTGCCCTGGGTTGTGTAAATGGTGGGTATCTAGATGGGTGGCGATCTTGCAGAATTCTTAGAACCCTTTCAAAGATTTTTATGATATGGGATGTTAGTGCTATCGGTCTGTAGTTCTTTGCTATTGCTTTACTGCCACCTTTGTGGAGTGGGGCTATGTCTGTTTTTAGCAGCTGTGGGACGACCCCTGTGTTCACGCTCCCTCTCCATAGGTTGTCAAAAGCACATGATAAGGGCTTCTTGCAGTTCTTGATGAATATGGAGTTCCATGAATCTAGGCCCTGGGGCAGAGTGCATGGGCATGTCATTTATCGCCTTTTCGAAGTTATTTGGCATCAGGATAATATCATGTAGGTTTGAGTCTACCAAATTCTGTCTCGCTCATAAAAAATTCATTTATGTCTTCGACTCTCAGTCTGGTTAGAGGCTTGCTAAAAACTGAGTCATATTGGGACTTAAGTAGCTCATTCATTCCCTTGCTGTCATCTGTGTAGGACCCATCTTGTTTAAGTAGGGGCCCAATACTGGATGTTGTTCTCGACTTTGATTTGGCATAAGAAAAGAAATGTTTTGTTTTTTTTTCAATTTCATTTAAGGCTTTTAGTTCTTCCTGCATTTCTTGACTCCTGTAAGATTCCTTTAGCTTTAGTTCTTTAGTTCGATGTTTGCTATTTCTCTGACCAGTGTCTCCCTTCGCATTACGGATATATTGGCCTCTTTTAGCCGCTCTGTTATTCTTTGCCTTAACCTGTATGGGGAGCGTCTTTCTCTTTCTAGTTTACATCTTCTCTTTTCCTTAAGGGAATATGCCTTGAGCATACCTCGTGTGCCACAGAGTTAATTTGTTCTACACATAGGTTTGGATCCGTGTTGCTTAGTCTATCTTCCCAGTTTATATCATTTAGGACTTGGTTTAGTTGGTCCCACCTTATGTTTTTGTTACTGATGTTGAATTTGGTGAAGGTGACCTCTTGAATGATCATATTTTGTTGGTCTGGCGCCCTGCACATGCATGTCTGAACCTTATTATGTTGTGATCTGAGTCAAGAAACTATAAATATTAAGATAAAAAAAACCAATATAACATATTCATAAAATTTTCAGTGAAAAATGCCTTCATTAGACATATATTTTTTTCTCTCATCAAACCGGCCATATCCCACAGAGGCAAGGTGACCTAAAAGAAAAACTTAAGTTTCTCTTTTTAAATTTAGTAATGTATACAGGACAAGGGGTTACAGATATATAATTATCGACTAAAAATATTTTTTTTTCAGTAGAGCACAGAGCCATATATGGCATCAGTGTTAGAGCTACAAGAGAAGATTTAGTTACCAGATAATCAGTGACAACTGGAGCTACTATGGCACCCAGCCTTGACACCATGAACGAGGTACCCAAGCCACGTATCCGCACCTCCGTCGGGAAGAGTTCAGAAGCCAAGAGCATGATGACATTGAAGGCAAAGTTGATTGACAGCTTGCCAATCATGGCCACTGTCACGATCAACCACTCGATGTCTGTAAAAACCCAGGGTCTTAACGACATGATTTTGTCATTACTAGGTCTGTATACGTTATACATGTACTTGTAGAAATAAAAATTATTATTATTATTACTGTACCTCTAGCTTTGCTTCCTTTGGTCACATATCTCTCTCTCTTCAGTATACCTCTTTCTAAGAATTGACGTATTCCCCTGACTTTCCTTCCATACATACACTCATGTTGTGCACAATCTGAGAAAAAAGATGTGCTAGCATTGACCTACAGACGAGTATCATTGACATGCATTCTAAGGTGTCTCTTAGCTCGATTGTTAGTGTACTCATCTCACACACTGAGGTCCAGGTGTCGATCCTCGGTATAGATAGAAACATTAGGACGTGTTTCCTTAAAATACCTGCTCTCTCTGTTCACCTAGCAGTAAAATAGGTACCTGGATGTTAGTGGACTGGTGTGGGTCGCATCCTGAAGGATGAGGTTCTATGTCTGAAGGATGAGGTTCTAGCTCTCAAGGCTGAGGTTCTAGCTCTCCAGGATGAGGTTTTAGCTCTCAGGGATGAAATTCTACATCTCAAGGATGAGGGTCTATCAAGGATGAGGTTCCATGTCTCAAGGATGAGGTTCTAGCTCTCTAGGATGAGGTTCTAGTTCTTAGGGAGAAGGAAAAATGAAAATGTCGTTTGGATAAGAATAATAATTGCAATAACAAACATGAACTGATGGGAAGTAATTCTGCCGCGGACACTAAAATGGACCAACAGATAATTTCCGACGAGGATACTGGAGAACTATTTTTATTTTTATTTTATTTATTTTATTTTTTTCAATTTGAGCACACTTACAGAGGTACAAAAAAAAAAAAAAATACAGATAAGAGCAGTATGCCAAAGCCACTTATACTATGCATAGCATTACGGGCTGGCTTAAAATTAACTTAAGATTAACTAAGCAATGATGAAATTAGTGATAAAACATTAATGTAAACAGATTACTATAAAGCACAAGTGAGTATTACAAAGACAGGTCATATGGTTGCATTCAGTTAGGTAGTGATTCTGTTAGGTAGTGTATTTAAAAAAATAATAAAGTTAGATTCGGTTTTAGGTTTAACATTTATGTGATATAATTGTGAGAAACATTTAAGATATACAATTTATAAGGTTCAGTTATTCAGTATTTATTTGGTTTTGGGTGAGTAAGTGATCTTTGAGAAGAGACTTGAATTTATAAACAGGTTGTGTTTCTTTTATATTTACAGGTAATGAATTCCAGATTTTAGGGCCTTTTATGTGCATTGAGTTTTTGCATAGTGTGAGATGGACACGAGGAACATCAAAGAGTGATCTGTGCCTTGTGTTATGGTCATGTGTTCTGTTGAGGTTGGCAAGGAGACGTTTGAGGGGAGGGTTAATATCAGAGTTAAGTGTTCTATATTTATATTTATATATTTTATATTTAGGATCACCGTGTTGGTATCGAATACCTTTTATAAAGTGACTTATAATGTAGTCGGAGAAGTGGCAGATGTGAGAGTGTGATCCTAGGAAGACAGAATACGTGAGGTGCTAACTAGCTAAATAATGTTCCTCTTCAATTCAAGTTTATTCTCTATAAGGGTTACAGTGTGGGGTTTACAGGTTTTGGGTATTGTGTGGTTTACATGTTATAAAATACTAATTACAGAGGGGGGGACTGGGACACCTAGCATGACTAGGCATTTCGAGTAGACTTAGATTAATTCTTAAAATTAAATCCTTACAGATTATGGTATTAAGGCTAAGTGACTACATTATAATTTGTGAGTTTAGCAATGTGAATTCTTTTGTTTTGGCACAATACAAAGTGTCTATATTGGAGTATCATAGGCAAACTTATGACTAGTTAGGATTTATTATTTTAAGATTAAGATCAGTATTTCTGGGTTTATAGTCAGTGGGTGAGTGAGTGTAATTTTGAACCACCAGGTGGTTATCATGTAGTTAGTTGTCGGGGTGGATCAGGGAGATAAGATGTTTTCTAACTGGAGTTTAGAAAGTGATGAATGTGTTTGCAGTTCTAGAGTTTTCAGGTAAGTTGTTCCAGATTTTAGGCCCTTTGACACACATTTAATTTTTGTAAAGGTTTAGTCGAACACGGGGAATGTCATTGAGATGTTTGTGTCTGGTGTTATGCCTGTGGATCCTGTCACAACTATCAAGAAAGCGTTTTAAGTCAAGGTTAATATTGGAATTTAAGGTCCTGTAGATATAGATTGCACAGTAGTAAGTGTGGATGTTTTGAACAGGGAGTAAGTTTAGATCTATGAAGAGTGGGTGGGGGGGTGTTGCCAGGGATGGGATTTAGTGACTATTCTTACTGCGACTTTTTGTTGGGTTATTATTGGCTTTAGGTGTGTTGCTGCAGTTGATCCCCAAGCACAGATAGCATAGGTGAGGTATGGATATATAAGTGAATGGTATAGTGTGAGAAGGGCAGTTTGCGGCACGTAGTATCGTATCTTGGAGAGGATCCCCACCGTTTTGGGTACTTTTTTTTTGTTATGTGTTGGTTATGGGTGCTGAAATTTAGGTTGTTGTCGAGGTATAGGCCAAGGAATTTGCCCTCATTATGTCTGGCAATTAGAGTGTTGTCGATCTTAATGTTAAGTTGCGCAACACCTGCTCTGCTACCAAACATAATATAGTAGGTTTTGCCAGTGTTAAGTGTAAGTTTACTGGCTGTCATCCAAGTCGATATTTTGATCAGCTCCTCGTTAACAATGGTGTTGAGGGTGGCAAGATTAGGGTGGGAGATGACATAAGTCGTGTCGTCAGCAAAGAGAATGGGTTTCATGTGTTGGGATATGTTTGGAAGACCATTGATGTATATGAGGAAGAGCAGGGGACCAAGGACACTTCCCTGCGGAACTCCAGTATCAAGTGGCCGTATTGATGAGGCTGTCTTTAATGGTGACATACTGATACCTATTAGAAAGGTAGGATTTAAAATATGCAAGCGCATGGCCTCTTATACCACAGTGGTCAAGTTTGTGGAGTAGGATGCCGTGGTCTACTGTGTCAAACGCTTTTCTTAGCTCAATATGTGTTGGCTATTATTCTGTCAAAGGCACTTGTCGATAAGACACTTGGCCTGTTTGGGAGCTGTACTCACCGAGTCCTTGTTAAATAAGAAAATGTGTTAGTGATTCACGTCACAGATGCTGACCGGCGTATGAGTCTGTGATGCACAGAACTCAATATATTTTCATCATTGTTGCTAAACCAGCACTCAGACTATGAAACTAGCATATCAGAACAAACTCTGTACCCGAAGTGGCACTTTGTACAACCATTTCTAAGCAATAATGCTGAACTAACCTGACAGTACAGCTTCTAAGCAAGAATGTTGAACTAACATGACAGTCTAAGCAATAATGCTGAACAAACCTGAAGGTATGGCGGACAAAGCAAGAAGAGCAACTCCAGTAAGCAGGAAGGAGAGGATGGCCAAGGTTTTGCGTCCCACGCGAATTATAAGTGGTATCGCTGGTATAACTGTCATCTCCACTGCCCCAGACAGAGCCATGTAAGTGAAAGGGTCAGAGGTGTAGTTCCCACCACTCAGACTCAGGCCAAAATACACCATGGCCACCACGAAGAAGGTGAAGTAACAGCTCAGAGTTATGTGTCGCAGCCTCGGTGTTCTGCAGAAGAAGGAGGGAGTGAAACAGAGGCGAAGTAATGCTGGTTGAAAAGATATACTTGGTGCGTGTTTTAATTGTTGTTATTATTATTATTACTGGTATTGTTATTATATACATTCTCTCTCTCTCTCTCTCTCTCTCTCTCAGTCCCATGCTATTTAATACTCTGATTAATGCTCTCCTAAATGCTCTACCTGCCTCACCTAAACTTATAGCTATAAGCTATGCTGATCATATCATGATCCATACAACAGGGCATAAGAAGATGAATACCATTTTTAATGAAGTTCAAGCAATTTGTAATCGACTAGGCCTCATAATATCTTCCTCTAAAACAAAGATATTAACAAGCAAACGACATCCCCCACCCATCTATTTGCAGGGTGAAATCATTAGCTACGTTAAAACTTACAGATATCTTGGTGTAGATGTACCCTTTAACAAATCCACTATACCACAACTAAACAAGAAATGCAAAGCTAGGCTAAATGCTCTCAAAGCTGTTGCTGGCTACAACCCCAACTATGGTGCTAATGTGAGAATCGTGAGAATGATGTACATAGCCTATGTTAGGTCCTTAATTGATTATGCTGCTCCCATGTTGATATTAGCTAGAGAAAGTTCTCTCCGACCCTTGGAGTTAATGCAAAATGAAGCTCTCAGGATTATTCTTGGCTGTCCCAGATCTACAAAAGTTCTTAACATGAGGAAGGAGCTTGGTATTTCTAGTATCAGTGATAGGATTGTTGAAATTAACACTGTACTCGGTATTAGAATGTTGAGAAACGAACCAGACACTGTCACAATGAATCTTACCAAGTGTCTAGAGGTAAATACACACAGATCTAAATGGATTGTGAAAACGTGCAATTGCATTAAGTTTTATAACCTGCATGAACTGTATCACTGTAGGCAACAAGAGCATTTCACCCCTCCGTGGAAGATGTGTTCATTTAATATCACATACCTACAAGTCCCTCCCAAGAAGCTCATTGCTAGTAATCCCTTAAATCTCTTGTTAGAGCAACTGCTCAAGAAGAAATTTCTCGCCTAGCTGGTAGTAATAAGTTATGCGAGTACGTAAGGATATGCAACGGTGGTGGGGGGGTAGGGATTTAATAGTTGGTGAGGCCATGTTGAGGTTATTAATGACAGTGAGGGATCCGTCGTGTGTTAAATTGCGGGTCCTCGAAGGAGTGGAAGGTAGGTCAGTGGTGGCTGCTGTTGAAGGGGCATACCCTATGTATGCGTGGAACGAAATATGGACGCGTCTAAAACAATTACGTGCAAAACCGGGTGTTCGGGAGGTAATGTTTAGATTTTTACATGGGATTTTGCCGTCTGGGGTTGTCCTATTCAATAGGAGGATAAGGGAGGGAGGGGAATGTAGAGCGTGTGGAAGCATGGAGACAATTTTGCATGCGGTATATTTTTGTGACTGTATAGAAGTGGTGCGGGTCTGGTTAGGAAAGGTGTTCAGGTTAGTGGGTGGGGGAGGGTTGCAGGTGTTGCGGGCTTTAAGTTTGGATATAGGTGGGGTGAGTAAGATGGTGGAGAATGCAGTGGCGTATTTGGTCACGGATTTTATATATACGTCATGGGCCATGAGGGAGTGGGCGTGGATGAGAGGATAAAGGTGTTAGCTGCGACATTTTACAGAACTAAGTGTCGTAATAGGGAAATTTATGGAGGGAATTGGGAGAATGCGTTTACTGAGGGCTATCGGAGTTTTAGGTTGAGGGATTTATGGGATTTACGTGCAATGTAAGGGGTCGCGGCGGGCTGGCTTCCCGATGAGGACAGTGTGAAAGGGTTTAGTGTGGAAGAGAATGAATATAGTACTGAGACATAAGTGCCTTTGACTGTGTGATGAGCGGGTTGTGTGTTGTGAACGATACAAGTTCTTCAATTTAATTATTAATTATGCTAATGACAAAGGACGACAGACGTCGTAATGTGATGGAATATTATATATCTGCAACGAAATTATTGGTATGTGTGTAATGAAATGACAAAATGGGTGCACTGTGTGAATACGAAATATATATATACACATGAAGTATTGCGTGTGGTAGGAAGGCTTCAGTATTTATCGACGTGTGAAGGTCATGCACTGTTATGTTTTGTGCTAACAGACTTACATCTTAGTAGTGGTTTTAATGATATGGGCGAAATATTTTTAGAAAGCTTGACTTATCCTGTTTTCTTAATACATATTATTTTTTCATGGGAGCTCTATAGAGCCCGTAGGTTTAGGTTACCATTGAATTGATATATATTATAGGGTAATTGATGGATGACATAGGATTAGGTTTTTGTGTTTTCACTGGTTGTGTTGTAAAGTGTATGTAACATATGTATATATTTATACCTTCCTGGAGAAGGTGATATGTTTGGGTGTTTAGTAGATATACGTTGTACATGAATCATGTAGAATTGAATTTTATATTATATCAATACATTGAGTGATACTGAACGTATCTTGTTGTTTAATATGGAATAATGAAAGTATTTCATACAATATACAGTTACATATAAAGATTGTTACGTGTCAGGTGGATTGACATGCAAGAAGGGGGGGGGTAGTGTTTTCAGAATGTAAGGTGTACATTCTGTGGCAGGATGTACAATGTAAGGTGTACATTCTGTGGCAGGATGTACAATGTAAGGTGTACATTCTGTGGCAGGATGTACAATGTAAGGTGTACATTCTGTGGCAGGATGTACAATGTAAGGTGTACATTCTGTGGCAGGATGTACAATGTAAGGTGTACATTCTGTGGCAGGATGTACAATGTAAGGTGTACATTCCGTGGCAGGATGTACAATGTAAGGTGTACATTCCGTGGCAGGATGTACAATGTAAGGTGTACATTCTGTGGCAGGATGTACAATGTAAGGTGTACATTCTGTGGCAGGATGTACAATGTAAGGTGTACATTCCGTGGCAGGATGTACAATGTAAGGTATACATTCTGTGGCAGGATGTACAATGTAAGGTGTACATTCCGTGGCAGGATGTACAATGTAAGGTGTACATTCTGTGGCAGGATGTACAATGTAAGGTGTACATTCTGTGGCAGGATGTACAATGTAAGGTGTACATTCTGTGGCAGGATGTACAATGTAAGGTGTACATTCCGTGGCAGGATGTACAATGTAAGGTGTACATTCCGTGGCAGGATGTACAATGTAAGGTGTACATTCCGTGGCAGGATGTACAATGTAAGGTGTACATTCTGTGGCAGGATGTACAATGTAAGGTGTACATTCTGTGGCAGGATGTACAATGTAAGGTGTACATTCCGTGGCAGGATGTACAATGTAAGGTGTACATTCCGTGGCAGGATGTACAATGTAAGGTGTACATTCTGTGGCAGGATGTACAATGTAAGGTGTACATTCCGTGGCAGGATGTACAATGTAAGGTGTACATTCCGTGGCAGGATGTACAATGTAAGGTGTACATTCTGTGGCAGGATGTACAATGTAAGGTGTACATTCCGTGGCAGGATGTACAATGTAAGGTGTACATTCTGTGGCAGGATGTACAATGTAAGGTGTACATTCCGTGGCAGGATGTACAATGTAAGGTGTACATTCTGTGGCAGGATGTACAATGTAAGGTGTACATTCCGTGGCAGGATGTACAATCAGGAATTAGATGTACTTGCCAAGGAGTCTTTAGGTTAGATTTAGTGTTCCAGACATAATGTCATTACTTCAAGGATTGGAGCGGTCATTGTTTACTGTACAGATTTGTCTTTCAGATGTAATATGTTAATTGGAAAGTACATGTACTATGCAGAATTTTTCATCACTGTTTTCACTATGTAATTTGTAGTTTATTTTTATGTACTATGTATGTCTTTTCAATAAAAGATAAAAAAAAAAGTAATAAGTTATCACAAGTTATATACACTGATGGATCTAAACAGGAGTCTTCTGGCAGGGCTGCATCTGCTCTTGTTGCCACCTCCCTAGTTAAGAACGATAATAAATTTGTTGAGTTAGGCATAAGAATTAACAACTGGGCGTCTACACTGCAAACTGAATTGTTTGCAATCCTAATGGCGCTAAAGCTAACCTATGACACTGAGCTTGGCTCTATCATCATTACTGATTCTATGTCATCATTGAAGGCTCTTGACTCATATAATGACTCCAACAACATACTCATTGGAGAAGCCAGGTATAGATACCCAAAAATGTACAATTGCTATGGATCGCATCACACATTGGATTACTCCTTCATGATAAAGTTGATATGTTAGCCAAGAAGAGTACCCAGAAGGAGAATGTAGAATATAACTGTGTCTAGCATTAGGAATAATATTAGGAGAGAAGTAAATAATGAAAATGATTGTTATAGGAATGCAGTTAGAAGCCTGAGTAGATCTATAACCCACTATAACATGAACGTAGATAAGTATGTTTATGGAGCAACGTGCAATGTGAACAGACTGACTGATGTTGTAGTGGCCAGACTTAGGCTTGGTTACAAGTACTGACTGATGTTGTAGTGGCCAGACTTAGGCTTGGTTACAAGTGCTGACTGATGTTGTAGTGGCCAGACTTAGGCTTGGTTACAAGTACTGACTGATGTTGTAGTGGCCAGACTTAGGCTTGGTTACAAGTACTGACTGATGTTGTAGTGACCAGACTTAGGCTTGGTTACAAGTACTTCTGGCAGTTTGGGAGACACACAGATGATGATCAAACTAAATGTAAATTATGTGATCAGGCATATGGTCACTGTCTTGAGCACTATGTGCTTAATTGTCCACTTATTGAGGAATACAGAGACAGACAGTATAATAACCTATGTGACATGTCAAGATATCTTATTAATGAAAATAAGATACCAGATATACTAAGCAAATTTCCTAAATTTGCTTGTAACAGATAAGTGAGCTATAGATATGTAGATATAAATCCATATGTATTCCTGTTAACCCTTTGGGGCCTAGTTCCTAGGCCTTTTGTGTATCCATATGCTCTTGCGCTACCGTCCACAGGATGGATATGGAGTGCACAATAAACTAGCCACTTCGGTGGCAAAATCTAAATCTCTCTCTCATTTGCGAGAATGATTTTTTACATTATCAGTTCCTTGGTGATGTGAAAAATCACGAAAGCGCTTAGAAGTTCACTATTTTTACACAGTGGTTGTTATCTGTATTGTAATATCACTTGTTTACTGTGATCTTAGTACACACACACACACACACACACACACAGTGAAGAGGCGGGGCCAGGAGCTAGGACTCAACCCCTGCAACCTCAACTAGGTGAGTACACACACACACGCACACACACACACACACATCAGGCACAGACAAGGGGCCTGGAGGGAGCATAGACGCTATACTGCATACAAGGGCCCTATCAGACCCACATGGGGCCAAGGCAAAGATGAGGAGCACACTAGGAACAAATGAGAGGTCTGAAGATAATGAAGAAGCTATGACATATGCAGAGACTCTAAGAGACACCTGCAGGGGCCAGGAACAGCTAAGCAGGAAAGGCAGTCCACTGAACATAGGGACCTCAGCCAGGGAAGGGCTTGAAGGAAGGAACACTCCAATGGAAGGAACTAAAACATCTCAGAGGACACAATGGGAAACACAGTCGGAGGACGAAAGGGCAAGATTAGTTTTTGTCTACCGGCTCCAGGAAGTTGAAGGGGAAACTTATGATGAAAGGAACCAGGAGGAGAAAAAAAATGATTGAAGGTATCATGAAAGCAATAGGTGAGGGCGACATGACCCAGGTGGCAAATTTTAGGAGAATTACGGCCTCTCAAAGTAATTTTCAAGGCAGAATCAATTCGAACCATGATTCTTCAGGAGAAAGCATGACTGAAAGACAAGAGTACCAGAGTGTGTACCTCAATCGAGACAGAACACAAGAGGAAAGGTTAATACTGAAAGAGAGTACAAAAACGAAAGGAGGAACGAGAGGAAATGACAAAGATGAGCAGAAGAATCCAGATGCAGGTGGAAGGGCAAACACATCCTCCAGAAACACCCGTAGAATGACTCCAACCACGACAACCCCAAGGCAACTGAGCAATCTAAACCGACACTCACACACTGATCCCTCTGCCCCCACCCCCCACACCACAAACCCCACCCATACAGCAACCCCCTATGGGAACTCTTCCCCCACCCCCATCACAACCCCATAGGCCCCAGTCAGGGCTCCCGATCCCTCAACCTCAATCTTCTCCCAGGATCACAGTATTAGAAAAGAAGTTGAAGGTTTGCTACACGAACGTGGATGGAATAACGAATAGGAGTGGCATGAAATAATCAATGAGCAATCCCCAGACATCAAAGCAGTCACAGAAACGAAACTCACTGAGACAATAACAGACGCAATCTTCCCATATCCTGAGAAAAGCTAGAAGGAACAGAGGGGGAGGAGAGGTTGCACTGCTCATAAAAGACCGATGGAGATTTGTGGAAATGGAAGGTATGGATGAGATTGGAGGAAGAGATTACATAGTAGGTACATTTCAGTCTGGGGAACACAAGGTAGTCATTGCAGTGATGTATAATCCACCACAGAACTGCAGGAGGCCAAGAGAGGAAAATGAAGAGAGCAACAGAGCACTTGTGGGCACACTGGCCGAGGTGGCAAGAAGAGCTCACTCGAGCAGAGCAAAGTTACTGGTTATGGGCGATTTCAACCACAGTGGTATCGACTGGGAAAACCTGGAGCCACACGGGGGTCCTGAAACATGATGATGTGGTACTGGAAAACCTTATGCATCAACATGTTAAGGACACTACCAGAGAGAGGGGAGGATGAACCAGCAAGACTGGATCTTTTGTTCACCCTGAGCAGTTCAGACATTGAGGACATCACATATGAGAGGACCCTTGGAGCTAGTGATCACATGGTTCTGTGTTTTGAATACATAGTAGAATTACAAGTAGAGAAGGTAACAGGAGTTGGATGGGAAAAGTCAAACTATAAAAAGGGGGACTACACAGGCATAAGGAACTTCCTGCAGGAGGTTCAACGGGACAGAGAATTGGCAGGAAAGTCAGTAAATGAAATGATGGAATATGTAACAACAAAATGCAGGGAGGAAGAGGAAAGATTTGTTCCCAAGGGCAATAGAAATAATGGGAATACCAAAGTGAGTCCTTCATTTACTCGAATGTGTAAAGAGGTAAAAACTAAGTGCACCAGAGAATGGAAAAGGTACAGGAGGCAAAGGACCCAGGAAAATAGAGAGACTAATAGAAGAGCCAGAAACGAGTATGCACAGATAAGGAGGGAGGCCCAGGGACAGTACGAAAATGACATAGCATCAAAAGCCAAGTCTGACCCAAAACTGCTGTATAGCCACATTAGGAGGAAGACAACAGTCAAAGACCAGCTGATCAGGCTGAGGAAAGAAGGTGGGGAACTCACAAGAAGCAATCAAGAGGTATGTGAGGAGCTCAACAAGAGATTCAAGGAAGTATTTACAGTGGAGACAGGAAGGCCTCTGGGTGGACAGAACAGAGGGGGACACCAACAAGGAATATACTTATAACAAGTGTTAGATGACATACAACTGAGGAGGAGGTGAAGAAGCTGCTAAGGGACCTTGATACCTCAAAGGCAATGGGACCAGACATCTCCCCGTGGGTCCTTAGAGAGGGAGCAGAAATGCTGTGTGTGGCACTAACCACAATCTTCAACACATCCCTTGAAACTGGGCAATTACCTGAGGTATGGAAGGCAGCAAATGTAGTACCCATATTTAAAAAATGAGACAGAAAAGAGGCACTAAACTACAGACCAGTGTTACTGACGTGCATAGTATGCAAAGTCATGGAGAAGATTATAAGGAGGAGAGTGGTGGAGCACATGGAATGGAACAAGAGTATAAACGCCAATCAGCACGGATTTATGGAAGGCAAATCCTGTGTCACAAACCTAATGGAGTTTTATGATAAACTAACAGAAGTAAGACACGAAAGAGCGGGTTGGGTTGATTGCATCTTCTTGGACTGCAAGAAGGCCTTCAACACAGTTCCTCACAGGAGATTGGTGCAGAAGCTAGAGGATCAGGTGCATATAACAGGAAGGGCGCTGCAATGGATCAGAGAATACCTGACAGGGAGGCAACGACGAGTCATGGTACGTGATGAGGTATCACAGGGGGCACCTGTGACAAGTGGGGTCCCACAGGGGGCGGTCCTAGGACCGGTGCTATTTCTGGTATATGTGAATGACGATGTAAAGTTAATGAGCAGACGATGTAAAGTTAATGAGCAGACGATGTAAAGTTAATGAGGAGAATTAAATCAGATGAGGATCAGGTAGGACTTGAAAGAGACCTTGACAGGCTTAACACCTGGTCCAGAAACTGGCTTCTCGAATTTAATCCCGACAAATGCAAAGTTATGAAGATCGGGGAAGGGCAAAGAAGACCACAGCCAGTGTATAGGCTAGGTGGCCAAAGACTGCAAACCTCGGTCAAGGAGAAAGATCTTGGGGTGAGTATAACACCGAGCATGTCTCCAGAAGCACACATCAACCAGATAACTGCTGCAGCATATGGGCGCCTGGCAAACCTGAGAATAGCGTTTCGATACCTTAGTAAGGAATCGTTCAAGACACTGTACACCGTGTACGTCAGGCCCATACTGGAGTATGCAGCACCTGTTTGGAACCCACACTTGATCAAGCACGTCAAGAAATTAGAGAAAGTGCAAAGGTTTGCGACAAGGTTAGTTCCAGAGCTAAGGGGAATGTCCTACGAAGAAAGGTTAGTGGAAATTGGCCTGACGACACTGGAGGACAGGAGGGCTAGGGGAGACATGATAAC